TAATTAAATGCTAAATTATTATTTTATTTTATAATATTTATTTTGTACTTATTTACTATAGTGAAATATTTGTTTAACAATAATTATATTCAAGTTTATGTATCTTCCATATTAAATAAATATTAAAGGAGACATTATAATTTTCGTATTTTGCGATTGATATCATATGCTTTGTACATTTGAAATATTTTCATTTTATTTACTATAGTTAATGTATTTATATCTAAATATAAAAAATGCTTTATCTATGTATGATTAATATTACCTTGTTTTAAATTTTATTCAACAGGTTTACACATTATAAATCCAACGAAAATGATTGTAACAATTGTTGTTTACTTAAATTGGTAATAAAGCTATTTTATTTGGTGATGTTTTTTTTTTTATAGGTACTATGTCATTATGATATACCTTAAAAGTTTTCAATACTCTGTAATTATGGTTAAAACATTAAATTTGGATTATCACTACTGTATGTTGAAATTGTTATTAAAAAGTAATATCGTAAGATAAGTATGAAAACTTATATTTGAGAAAATATTTTTGTTGATATGTAATTGGAAAAAAGTATTCTATTGAAAATACTCTGCTGCACAGTAGGTATCGAGTGGGGTACMTATATCAAATGGATGTGTGAAATTCGAATTAAAAAATATAAAATCATTGAATACGAAAAACTTCTKCGCTCAGAATCACTTAAAAAACTAGAAATTTTTTAAAAGTAAGTAACTGAATTTAAAAGTTAGTTAAAATAGAAAGTATAAATTTACTTTTAATTTTGATTTAAAAGTATGATGCTTATATAGTACCTATCTATGAACAGTTTTCAGTTAATAGTTTCTAAAATAATTTAATAAATACATTTATTATTTTATTATCGTACTAAAAACAAAAAAAATATGTACGTTCAATGTTTTGTTTTGTTTCATAAAGAGTGTCACTCAAACTTACACAGATTTTTTCATTTATAAAATAAATGCAAAATGGATAAGTATCAAAAAAAGTTCTCATACCATTTTTTTTTTGTGCTA